GCCTTGTTCTTACCTGCAAGACAAGGAGAAATAGAGCAATCAGTCAGCACTTGGAATCAAGCTTCTAGTCAGGAACTGACTGCCTGGAACCCCTTACCTGATTACTTACCTGATATTGCTCTCGAGTACTCATCTTCAACATCTTATGCTTCCAGAGAAGATACCACATATGCCTGAGGAACAGATAGGGAAAGTGAGAAGGATACAAGAAAGCATGTGGAGACAAGCGTAATAGAACACGTGCCGATACATCCACTACTTTGTCAACAGCAAAAGTATCCCATATCAGCAGGGTCGAATGTACTCTAGATTTGATGAACTTGTTTTGACCCTCAAATTCTTCAGTCAGCCTTATACTCTGGAGGAAACCAGAAAATCCTCCAGCCCAGTTCAAGAATAAGCCTATGGAAAGTTACTTCTTCAAAAGCAAAAGTATCTCATATCATCTATTCTCATTTTCTTCTCTTTATCCTTCATGCTGCCTGCAAGATAGGAAGAATGAGAACAATCAGCCGGAACTCAAAATCAAACTTCTGATCTGGGACTGATTGCTTGGAGCTCTGATTGCTTACCTTGTCTGTCGCCTCTTTCAGCAGATCCCCTAGCTCGGCGACTTGGGGGATTCCTACTACATGGTTTGTATCGCGCTTGACCAAGCCTGAAACTACAAGTAAGCTTCAAGTGAAATTGATACATTACCTTGTGCATCTCCACCAGTTAAAGATACCACCCATGGATGGAGGAAGAGTACTTCCAGAGAAGATGCCACATCTACCTATGAGACAGATAAGGCAAGTGAAGACGAGAGCTCGAACCTATGTCATTTGTACTAAATCATTCACTTGTACTTACTAAAGGAGAGCTTGAACCTATGTACTTGTGTAAACCCTTCACAATTAATGAGAACTCCTCTACTCCGTGGACGTAGCCAATCTGGGTGAACCACGTACATCTTGTGTTTGCTTTCCTGTCTCTATCCATTTACATACTTATCCACACTAATGACCAGAGCAATCTAGTGAAGATCACAAACTTAATACTTTCTATTGTACCAAAGTCCTCACTGATTTTGTGCATCAACAATCTTTAAGTCCTTACCTTTTTGCGTTGGTAATGGATGAGTTAACAGGACATATTCAAGATGATATTCCTTGGTGTATGCTTTTCGCAAACGATATAGTGTTGATAGATGAAACTTAGGAGGGGTAAATGCGAAGCTTAACCTTTGGAGAGAAGTGTTGGAATCTAAAGGTCTTCGCCTAAGCCGATCAAACAGAATATATAGAGTGCAAGTTCAGTGAAAATGGAAGCCAAAATGAGTTAGGGGTGAGGATCGGAGATCAGGAAATACCAAAGAGCGACCGTTTTTGCTACCTAGGATCTATCTTGCAAAAGAACGGAGAATTAGATGGAGATCTCAACCATAGAATACAAGCTGGATGGATGAAGTGGAAGCGTGCATCCGGCGTGTTGTGTGACCGTCGTAGGCCACTAAAGCTCAAGGGAAAATTTTATAGGACGACAATAAGGCCGGCGATGCTGTATGCACAGAATGTTGGGCGGTGAAGCATCAACACGTACACAAAATGGGTTTGGACATGTGCAAAGAAGGCCTACTGACGTTCCGGTTCGAAGATGTGACTACGGGATAGAGGTTCAGGGCTGAAGGGGTAGAGGAAGACCTAGGAAAACTTTGAAAGAGACCCTAAGAAAAGACTTAGAGTACTTGGATCTAACGGAGGACATGACATAAAACCGAGCGCAATGGCGTTCTAGGATTCATATAGCCGACCCCACTTAGTGGGAAAAGGCTTTGTTGTTGTTGTTGTTGTTGAAGCGTTTTGACAGATGTGGTAGAAACTTTTGCTAAGTTTCAATTTTATGATCCAATTTGGCTAGATTTTATAAATGATTTCATCAACAAGAGTTGAGTGAAATGATTGATTTGGTAAAAGTCTTAAATATTGGTGCATTATGTCCATACCCTAATGCTATTGTTTGAGTAGAAGAGATGGTCAACCTCTGTATATTCTATGCAAAGAATCTGTTTGTAAGTTTGAAGAATAAAACAAGGCATGGCTAGGCACAATGGTTGCAACACAATAAATTATTTGAAGATGAATTTATGTGTTGGAATAAAGCGAGTGTTCTAATACAAATTGGCTGATCAATTATACTTCCAAGATGTTTTATGGCAGATTTCATTACTTTAGTTAGGTAGTTTTCAGTTTTATGTCAATTTAATACTATTGCCTTTCAATTTCTAAATGTAGTTACAAAAAGCTTTAAATACCACTTCTTCTGTAATATGGAGGACTTGGACCTTTTTTGTTGCTAAATGAAATATTCAAGAGATTTCTATCTCATATTTGTGCCTTTCTTTTGTTTAAAAGTATGTAAGTTTGTTTTTTCTAGTGTCTACGTCATAGGTTGGTACTAGAACTAAAGTTTATAGGGTTTTAAAGTCTCTCCTTGCACTTGGAGATGGTAGACCTTACTTATCCTTTTTTTTTTAATCCTATTTGTCGGTCTATTTCATTTTATTTCGTTTCTACCCACTACGCTCTACATCACCTTTGCTCTAAGAAGAACATGATGACCTTCTGGAACAAATCAACCAAACCAACGATAATATTAAAAACACATCCTAGATGGGGGCTAATCTTCCTTTTTCTCCTCCATGGTGGACGAAGGAAGTAGAGGTGAGGACGCCCGCAAACTCATCAAGAGTAGAATTCAAGCAGAGGAGGGCGCTTGGGGAAAAATAGCACTGGCCACCGGCAACCAAGGCTTCAGTCGAGAATCTACCTAACCGCACCGACTTAAAAAACACCTGAGGGAAGTCATGGGCGAGGAGATGAGAGACATACAGTGGGCGTCCAAGCCCAAGAACCCTGACTATTCCGATGAGGAAGTTCCCTTGCCATTCTCCAAGGAATTGTTCGACAAGCCGACAAGTGGAGATACCCATGTACTCAAGATGCAAAGCTACAAAAGGCTCACAGATCCATACGACCACCTAGAAGGATTTATCTACGCTTTTGAGGGCCGAGGGAATAATGACGCTACCAAATGCAAGTTATTCCCAACCACACTCAGAGGAGCGGCCATGGATTGGTTTAAATAAATAGCCCCATGGTCCATAACTTCATTCTCGGGGCTGAGGCAGGTTCCTTGACAATAAATGAAACCAATAGCTTCAACCCAATCAGAACCCACTGCACACTCACAACTTGGGAAATCTTTTCATCATTTCTCCAATTAACAAAGTGATAAAGTCTGATGTAAAGAAGAAAAACAAGAGAGAAGAAAGAGAGAGAAAATGATAGCTCTAACTAGCAAGTAATCTCATAATGTTTACCCTTAATTGTTAATCCAACGACATAACACATCATATTATTATTGTATATATACAAGACAATTTAGAATTCTATGATCCACACTGTGAATTTAAATCCTTTATCAAATGGATTCTTATGTGAATGTATCGAACATGTTGACATTTAGCAACATGTTAGAGCACTTCCATGAGTTGCCTTTTTTTTTTTCGGCGAACTCCATGAGTTGCCTTTGGGCAGAGGCAACGGCTTCTTTTTTGCCCTTCAACTTCAAAATCGGGCTCCAGTGGTCCAAATCCAAGAAGACAAGTGGTAGGCCAAACCATGCTCGCCCAACTGCCTATGCAATTTAAGTCCAGCCTTGCGCTAACAACCACGGGGACATCAGTCACATTTTTTGGGTCTGTTGTGTGTATTACACGTGCAAGGAATGAGAGTAGGCCGATAACTTCTGCTGTCGCAGGGCTCATTGCAAAAACTCTTAACAGAATAGCCCAATGACTTTATGATGTGGCGTAATTATAGCTGTTGGATTTCCAAGAGCCTAAGGATCTAGACCGGCAGATTTCCAGTGGTAAAAAAAATTAAAAAGGCATTATTGTGGCACGTTATGGTGTGTCGGATTCAATAATAAGGAAAGTCCAATTGTTAAAAATGGAAGAAAAAAAATAATAGGAATTTTTTAATTCTATAAATACCCAATCATCTTCTTCATTTGCCTTTTATTTTTAGTTAATTATGCTTGTTGTATTGCTATGCTTTGCTTTATATTTGAAATTAAATTATTGGAGTAAAACATAGAGTTTTATTTTCAAATAACAAACTTACAATGTTCACACTTAAACACACTTACAAGGTTAAAAAAAATTAAAAAAAAATTAAAAAATAATATTTGTGAACAATAATCGTCATTGCCCAATGAATGGAGTTGTAAAAAAAAACAATTACTTTTCAAAGTGGCAATTACATGTCATTGCCCTTGCTTTTGCCTGGCCCTCCTCCAACATGTGGAATTGCTCTTACGACAAATAACAGTTTATTTAACATTACTCGTATCTAGGTGCACTCGGTTATGAAAGACTTGTCTTATAATATTGCTAGACTGCCAATTTGAATCGTTAACTATTTGAATTCTTGTTTTGGGTTGACAATTTAGCAACATGCTATCTATTGTTATTAATAAAATGTCAAGAGCATTCTTACTATTATTTACTATGTATATATCATAGTAACAATTCAGCAACATGATAGCATAACCAAGAAACGAGAATATTGCTTTTATGAAGATGCACACTATTATCGTACACATTTACTAAATCTATGAATTTGGATTATTAATCATGTAAATTCTTGTTTACTCTTAATTAAATCTATAATTCTAATTGACAATTTAGCAATATTGGGCTACTAATGAGAGAACATTTCTTACAGGCATACATTTTATATCGCTTTAGAGTATTTCCAATCTTGCTTCTTCTTCTTCTTTTTTTCTTCTTTTTTTTAAGGTTAAATTTTAACTCACAAACTAAAAACTCGTTGTTCTAAAATCAGTGCATCTTTCTTATCCGTCAAGATCAAAGTATGGACAAATGAGATGTATTTCTATAAATGATCAGATTTTATTAGTTGATGCAATGCAGTTTAACAAATGTTAAACCAGTCTCACCAAATGGCAAAAATAATCATATATCCACGAGCACAAGGAAGTTCCGCTCATAAAGTTGTGAAACAAAAAAAATTGAGTTACAAAATGCAACAATAACTGAAAGGGGAGTTTCAATTAAATCGTTATGTGATTCCATATGAATCATATACCTCACCTAATTAACATGTTCCAATTAATTAACCCTTCTTCTAAATTAACACTAAACTTTATGAACGTTTTCCTTCAGCCAAGCTTACACGCAATGCTCTTCCTTCTAGTTCCTGAGAAGCCAAACAAAATAAAACAAGGATTAGTCGGCTGCCTAACGAGTCGTTCTTCATTACAAACAAATTATAATTTGATACGTCCGCCCGCTAGTTGTTTCCTTTTTCAGTTTATTGGATAAATACTTGTTATCGACATTAACACGAAGTTGTGTTACTAGTCCATACAATTTACCTATTCTTATAAACAGGCACATGTCAAACTGTAATTTGTCCGACACATGTTATGTGGGAAGGACTTTTACGCTTATAAATAGATCTAAGAATGTGAGGAGGTGAATGAGAAGAGTAGCATACAAATCCATTGAGAGATGCCAAGGCAGCGTCCATTTCTGATTTCGTCGAGTAGCATACGAATCCATAGCCACGAGACCTTCCTGTCTCGCCATCATATAGAACCCTAGCTCCAACCACAGTCCCATATTCTTGAAAAGCTTTTGTCAAACCTTCAGATGTGACTGACCAGGATAAATTCCCAACGAAAAGCTTGTACTCAGTTTCAGGATATAGAGGTACTTTCGCTCTCGGCCTGTCCGAAAAGTTCACCCTCAAGGTTCGCCCAGCAAATTCCTGAAATGTTGGAATAAGGTATGAGTAACGCTGTTATATGTACTGGATCTCCCACTGACATATAATTTAGGCCAACTCACGCGAAACATGAGTCATGAGACCTATTTTTCTATTACTACGAGAGATATGACGAGTAAATGTGATATAATGGGAGAAAGAATGAAGTTCTTTCTCTACAATGTTTGAAATTAGAAAGAGAGAGAGAGCCTTACACGTCCGTCAAGATTTTGAATGACAGCTTTACAATCTTCAGGAGTACTCATAGTCACAAATGCAAATCCTCTGCTTTTTCCAGTCTCCCTATGATACAGAACCTATATAGGATCATCAATTGTGTTCGTCAGTAACAAGTAATGGCGGTACACGATGAATGTCTTTTGAATCAAAAGACGTTATCAGTAGTCTAACTTGACAATTTTGCCGTGCAAATTCATCGTAATCTAATGGATTAGGATTAATCTATACCCCAGAAGAGGTGGTGAATCCGTCGACAAAAGCGTTCAACAAATGGGAAAATCCCTCGTACTAACATAACATATCTAGCATGGCATCTTTTAAACCAACTTATGAAAAATAGGAGATGAAAACTGACCTCAATGAGCTCAGGACTAGCAAAGTCTTGAATAATCCCAGCAAGCTGTGCACTGTCCACACTATAAGGAAGATTACCAAAGTAAAGCTTTGTGTTCACAGCAACCTCCTCCTCACCTGAAACTTCACCAGCTGCCGCCTCTCCTCCTCCTCCTCCTACTTCTTCCACCGCGGCAACTACTTTTTCCTCTGCTTGCTTCTCCTCCTTCTCCTCGGCCAATACCACTTGCTCAACTTCAACCTCATCAGTCACTGCCACCCCTTCTTGAGCAACACAAGTAGTTGTTATCCTCAGCACCCGAAACTTATTCGAGGTCCCGATACTACTAATGGAAAGTAGTGGCTCTATAGCAAAAGAGTGTGATAGCGATGACGGTGATGGCATGCGATTTGGTGACATTTTAAGGTGTAGATGGTCGGGGGATGAATGATTGGATGATGAACGAATGCATTTGACGGTGTAGATGGAGGGGGAGAAAGATGAGCTCATGGCTGCAGCTGCGGCGGCAGCCATGGTGGTAGATCAACTGTGATTGTGTATTTTTGAGTGAGGTGAGAGGCCTGGAGGAGGAGGGGGGGTGGTGGTGGTTATTACAGTTGAATATAGGGTAAAAGCTATGTGAGCTGATGTGGGCACTTTGTGTCCAGTGAGAGTGGAAGAGAGATATACGGGGGGATAAGGTGTGTCCATGTCTAATCTCCAATCTCTGTACCCCAAACAAAAAAATAAATAAATAAAAAAAAAAAATAGGATTCATTGTTCTAAGTTTCCATGACTGAGAAAAATCATCACTGGTCATGGGCCTATGGCACCAGGTTTTATGTTAATTTTTAAATAATATATCAGGCGTACCAAATAATCATAAGTGTTTTTATTCTTTCTAACAGTATAATTTTTAAATTCTAATGGAAAGAATATTAGAATGCATTACCCTTTGGATGAGAATGAGGAAATTATACATAGAATTTGGACGAAACATCCTCACCCTCCCCCCGTTACCGCCGCCACCAAGGGGATTTGGGGGCACGTTTGGTTGATTACCTTTTTTCAGTTTATCCATGGTTCTTGTTTGGGAAAATTAGGTTCACATCTTTTTTTTTTTGTCACTCCATTGATTTTATTCATTTTCAATTTTTTATCAAGGTCTTTGTGTATTAATAACATCATTAATTATTTGAATAATAAAATATTTATATTTTTAAATATATTCCTTTAATGTTAAAAATGTTACAATTAGTATATTTATATTTATGGCTAAATTTTTTATCATATATTTTTATTTTAGTTTTTACCTATTTTTAATTTGCAAATATTGTTTAATTTGTACCAATTTTCTTTTCATTTTTAATTTGTACCCATGTATTAGTTTCTTTTTGTGCCCATATTTTTTAAAGTTTTATTTGTGTTTGTACCCATGTGTATACCGTCACGTGACATTGTTTATTTAATCAATGATAGAACAATTACATATGGTATATATATGTTTTATGCCTAAACTTTGTGTCATATATTTATATTTTTAGTTTGTACCCACTTTTAATTTGCAACATTTTTTTTTAAATTTGTAGTATTTTCTTTTTAGTTTTATTTTGTACCCATGTATTAATTTCTTTTAGCGCCTATATTTTTAAAAATTCATTTGTATTCATAATTTTTAATCTTTTATTTGTACCCTAATTTATTTCTAATGTACCCATTCTTCTTTATTAATGTACCACTTTGTTATATGTGAAATGTACCAATTTTTTTAACACTATGGATACATTCTTTTTCCATTTATTATTTCTTATTTTTACATAGTTTTTATCCATTTATTCAATCAAAATATTTTAATTTTTTTATTGTAACCGTTTCTAATAGTATTATAATGAGGGATTTTAAATTTATAGGATTATAAATCTCATAAAATATCAAACAATTAATGTCAAAACTATAAAAATATAAATATTAATAGTAATAAAATGAGGTGTACAAAGTCAAGGGACCTTGATCAAACTTTGAATACTATTAAGGTTTTAATCAAAGAATGTTAAGGAATAGGGACTGCATCCAAAATATCCCGTTCTTTTTTACTATAGTTTTTTTTTTATTCAAAATTACCACTGAGATTTGACATAAATTTTCACTTTGGTCACTAAGATTTAAATCGATATAAGTGGTACCTGAGATTGTTTACTGTCAATCATTTTGTAAGAAATCTCTGTTAAATTAAGGGTATTTTTGTCAAATCAACCCCTCCTTTGGAACTGGTAGTTTATTCAATTTAACGGAAATTTTTCACAAGGGTCAAAATAATTGTCAGTGGACAATCTCATGGATGACTTTGATCAATTTTAAATCTCATAAACTAAAATGAAGAGTTATGACAATCTTAGGGATCGTTTTGGCTAAACACTTTTCCACTTGATCAACATAATTTATCTCAATGTATGTGTGAATATGAAACCAAAAGTGATCACGTATAAAGGCCCATGGGATCAGACTGATCACGGGTCAACAAGGCCCAAGTGCTTACGGGTCAAGCCCGAGTTCATATTTTGCTTATTTGAGTTCCCGCGTAGTAGGCCGTTGAAGTCAAAGTAAATGGAGTATGCTCAACCGACACCTCTCTCTACGACTCGCCAGATCTCTCTGCACGGCGGCGGCGACCGCAAAATCCTTTTCACAAAACCAGATTACAACACCATCCACCAATCTCAAACCCTTCAATTCCAAAATCTCATCTTTAATGCGGGATGGCTCTGTTGAAGAAGCCCAGAAGCTGTTCGACAAAATGCCTCACAGAAACACCGTCACTTGGAATGCCATGATTCGTGGCTACTTTCAAAATAGGCAGTTCCAAGATGCGGTTTATTTATTTAATCGGATGGCTGATCATGATGTCTTCTCGTACAACACAGTGATTGCTGGGTTGATGCAATGTGGGGATGTGGATGGTGCAAGGAAAGTCTTTGATGGGATGAATTTTACAGATGTTGTTACTTGGAATTCAATGGTTTCCGGGTATATTCGTAATGGGATGATTGGTCAAGCTGTACAAGTGTTTAATGGGATGCCGTTGAAGGATGTGGTTTCTTGGAACTTGGTGGTTGGAGGCCTTGTGAATAATGGAGAGCTCGATTTGGCTGAAAAGTATTTTAAGCAAATGATTGTTCGAGATTTGGCGTCTTGGACTATAATGATTTCAGCATTTTCTAGTGTAGGACGTGTTGTTGAAGCCCGAGAGCTCTTTGATGAAATGCCTGTGAGAGATGTTCAGGCTTGGAATGCAATGATGGTTGGGTATATAGAAAACGGGTATGTTGAAATTGCAGAGGGCTTGCTTCACAAAATGCCCAAGTGGGATTTGGATTCTTGGGCTCAAATGGTAAATGGATTGGTCAGGATTGAAAGAGTCAATGATGCCATGAAGCTTTTCATGGAGATGCCAGAGAAATGTCCGAAAACATGGAACTCAATCCTTTTAAAATTAATAAGAAATGGGTTCACTAGAGAAGCTCATGCCGTTTTTGAGAAAAACCCTTACAAAGATGTTGTTTCATGGACAAATATGATTGTTGGGTATCTTGGAACTGGAGAGGTTGGCAGCGCTATTGAACTCTTTGAGTCAATGGAAACTCGAGATACAGCTGCATGGAATGCCACAATATTTGGATTAAGCGAAAACGATCTTGATGAGGAAGGTTTGAAGCTTTTCATTAGAATGAAAGAATCAGGGCCATCTCCAGATAAAAGTACATTTACCAGTGTTTTGACAATCTGTTCAGACTTACCAACCTTACAGCTTGGTAGACAAACTCATGCACTGTCAGTAAAATCAGGATTTGATAACATCATTGCAGTTTCCAATGCTATGGTTACCATGTATGCTAGATGTGGGAACATGGATTTAGCTTTACTAGAATTCTCTTCCATGCAAAGCCGCAATGTCATTTCGTGGAATTCTATAATCTGCGGATTCGCTCACCATGGGAATGCTGAAGTAGCTCTGGAGATGTTTGAACAAATGAGATCAGCAGATGTTCAGCCCAATCACATAACCTTTGTTGGTGTTCTATCTGCTTGTAGCCATGCGGGGTTGGTGGATGAAGGCAGATACTACTTTGATATGATGAAATGCAAGTATTTCGTTCAACCTACAATTGAGCATTATACATGTATGGTTGATTTGTTGGGGAGATATGGACTTATAGACGAGGCAATGAGTTTCTTAGATCAAATGAGAGCAGATGGATTTGAAATTCCTGCTAGTGTGTGGGGTGCATTACTTGGAGCCTGTAGAATCCACAAGAATGTTGAGGTGGGTGAGATTGCCGGGGAGAGGATTTTGGATGTAGAGCCCGGTAACTCTGGTGTCTACTTGATTTTGGCAGAAATGTATCTGGCTAGTGGACGAAGGGAAGATGCGGGGAGGATTTGGGCAAGAATGAAAGAGAAAGGAGTGAAGAAGCAACCTGGGTGCAGTTGGATTGAGGTAAACAATTTCGGATATGTATTCCTTTCGGGGGACAAATCCCACCGTAAATTTCGAAGAATCCATTTTGTATTAGGTTTGCTACATACAGAGATTGAGGCTGAAATTTCAAAATCAAATGCTGCCTCATTTCAGCTGGTACAAGTTCCACCGGATGGGTTTTATGGCCGAGGTATCGACTTCAGCTAGTACGTGTCTTAGTTTAAGTCGTTTGATTATAGTAATGGCTCAGAGGAAGCGAAATGCAAGAAAATGCACAGGTTGCTAATGTAGAGGCTCAGGAAATGGTTTATTGTATCACTTACATCATAGTTAATGAACAACAATTATGTGTTACAGAAATAGAGCACAAAAACGCGAGTTATGCAAAATTTTCCTCGTTACATGGATTTCATTATGTGCAAGGGAGTTCGTAATTACAAAGAAAGCGAAAACTCCAATTCTCACTAGGCTTCATGTTGTTTCATTGAAACAGGAATATCTTTCTGTATCTACGTAAATCCCTTAAAGTAAGATTACCAATCTAATCCAAACTAAACGACACTTGACGTCCCACAGAGCTTGGTTTTCCCGTTCTAGGGGGTTGCCTCTGACTTGGAAGAGTTGTCTCTGACCCTTTCCTTCCCTTCAGAGAGTTCCCTTCCGAAGCCCCCTTGGATTTTATTGCTTTTTTAGAATTTTCAGTAGTATGGGATGGAACGGATTGTGTGTGGTTGTTCTTGACCAGGTTATGATTCTTCAGAGCTGGTGTTCGCACTGCTTTGATCCTGTTTTTGCTTCCAATTGCTGTATCATTTACTGAAAACAAAATGACCAAATAAAAGGTTGGAAATGAATGAACAGTATAACATGTTGATCACAATTTCAAATTTTCAATCAGATTTAACTGATGCTGCTAAAATATGAATACAAGTTAGGAAAACATGCATCTGGTTCAAGTTCCACATACCGAACTCAAAAAGTTTATAGGTTTACGGTAATTTCTCAATCTATCGATTGAAACATTGTAGTTATTTTGGGATTAGCCAAATATAATTACATCTCCATCAGTTTAAGGTGTTCCATTGAGAGTTATAATTCTTAAAACTTTCAGAGTCCGTAAGTGTAAACAAGAAAACCCTCATTGCAAAACACCTCGGTAGAGATAAACAAGGAATAAAAATTACCTGGACTTGATAAGACAGCGCGCGGCCTAGGGATTGAGGTGGCTCTAATATTTTGTTTGATTTCCTCTTCAACTTTGTTGTCTTTCGTTTCTCCTGTCAAAAACATAGATTCAAATGTCAAAACCGGAAGATAATACAGAACGAACATTTTTCCCCTTGATAAGGATGATAAGCAGAAATGACATTTGCATGGTCACTAAGCATATGAGTATAATGTAACTAAACCTTCAGTTGCAGATATTGATGGTATCACTACACTCGGGACATAAGATTCAGGAATTCTCACAACAGTGGGCGGAGTCTCTTCGTGCTCCTTCTCTGTAGATAAATACAAGTTTCAAATCACCCAATGACCAATAAGTCTTGAGGAAAAATAAAAAGTGAGATGAATGAACATGTTATTACAAAATTAGAAAAGGTAGGGAGAAAGAGGAGGGACAAAATCCTTTGATAGTGAGCTAGTATTTGAAAGAATGGAATCGCTTTTGGTGTAAGGTCGGTCATATGAGTAAACCATTCAAGCTCCGACGACTCAAACTGAAATTGGAGGCTTAAAACTGACGCTTCTATTGGCTGAGGGAAAACATAAGGAAAAAGTTTTGTGCTAAAAATACAGTATCAGAAGTTCACATTGATTGGAATGAACAGATTGTTGGAGTTACATATAACGAGGGATAGTGGAAATTAAGTTTGTAAGAAACCGACATATACTGAACCAACGAACTGAGCTTCATCTACAAGGGTCAGGCTGCAGAGAGTATGGAAACCTATTCATGAGAAGTATTAAACATTTTTTGCCTAGGAACGCAGGGACACACCGACAAGGTCACACAAGCTACCACTCCCTTGATTTGGATTTGCCACGCATCCCAATCATGAACTGATCAACTGATAGGCTAATAAATATCAGACAGAAGCACGATGACAAAATGAATTCTTCCCCGTTCCAAATGCAAGAAACATGGCATGGAAAACTTTTCTTGACCCAATTCATGTTTGCTTAATCACAGTTGTAACAGTACTATACACCGTTTGCATAAGTTTGCAAGTGAGAGTCTTGATATCGACAGAGAGGAACTTTAATTTAATTATGTTCTAAGCTGGGAAATACAGGATCGAGAAATGAAAACCTGGAAAGCAAAAATCAGTGAGGGGTTGATGATCATCCTGGTCTTCTTGTTGCCTGACCTTCACCTTTGGGTACCCTTCAACATCCCAAACACAAAAAAAAACGAGAAAACCCATTTCAGAACACAATCAAAACAACCCAAAAACACAAAGAAAAACAGGAAAAAAAAATGAAAATTGATCACAAACCCATTTCTTTTTTCCTCTTCTTCTTCCCCTTCCCCTTCTGAGAGCTCTCAAGGGTTTTGAAGCATGAAATGGATGGCTCTGAATTTTGGGATTTATTCAAAAAGTTGGGACCTGGGACCAAATTGCTTTCTGGGTTCTCTCTTTTTCTCTCCGATTCGATATTCCATAAATTGTATATAATAATATGATGATGGAAGAAAGGAGGGAGGGACGTGCAAGGAATCGTCGTCTGGTCAAAAGAGAGAGGGCCGAAATCTTTAGACTGATGAGTGTGTTTTGAGCACTTGCAAGTTGCAAGTCCCGGCTGATCACGCCTAAATGGTGACGCTTGTAAAGTGAAGTTACCAAACGCCATGTCGTTTCCAGGCTTCCCTCTTGGTCTTTGAATTTGGGATAAAGCGGGAGTTTTCGAATTCATTTCCGCAGATATCACCTCCAACCCACATGAAATTGCAGGGGGACATGAGCAATTATTGCCTGAAAAATCGAAAATCTTGCTCCGGCCCATAATAGAAAGTCGGGCAATTATTGGGCTCCGAGCTGTCAAACTGCCCAATCAGGCAATTTTTGCTTGATCCTACGTCTGAGTGTGGTCTAATATCATGCTGATGTCAACCACATAAAAATATTTATTTTTACGGGGGATTATTACTATAGAGAGGGAGTTATCAAAAGGAGAGATGTTGCAGGCGGGAGGAAAAAAAGAGGCGGTGGGCTCGGACGGGCGAAGAACCCGACTTATTGAACCTTGGGGTCGTTGATTGTGCAGGGAGGCCGGGAGGGTCCAATTGGGAATTTTATTGGGGTGCAAAGAGAAAAGTTTGAGGGATTTGGATCGTTGGATTTCATCGACGAGGAGAGGGAGAAGACGGGAAGTAGCAAAGAAAGGAGAAGAGAAGGTGATGGAGGATGAGATAAAATTAATAATAAAATAATAATTTTTTTAGTTCTAATAAAGAATTTTTAATACCAATTGTCCAAGCAATTCATTTACGGGGTGGAGGGGCAATTATTATTTACTAAGGCAATTATTGCCCTATGGGGTGGAACTACTGTTATTAAATTTCTCACCTGAATCTTGAACTCCCTTGTCAATTTCTTTTACAAATTTTTATTTTGGCCAAATTCCTATCAGAATTATTATCAATGACTAATTTTCCTCTTATTGTTTGTATTACTTGCATTTCATCAAATTTTTCGTCCAAAAAAGTCGCATGTCAGTCATTAAGTGTTTATTTTATTTGTTATTTTTCTTTTTCTCATTGTTATGTTAGTTTTTTTCTTCTTAAATGTGTCATGTTTAATGTAAAGTTATACGAAATATGGGGAAATATGAGTCTAGGGGAAAATTAGCCATTTATAGTGGTTCAAACGGAGAAGTTGGCTAAAATAAAGGTTCATAAGAGAAACCATAGTAGGTTACAAGTTTAGTGGGAAATCGGCTTAGGACTGAAATTCTTGAAAAGAAACTTTTCTCATTTCTTCTAGGATCATCTCCCTCACAATCTCACCCTCTCTCATCTCCATCACGGGCTTAACCTCCCTCGTGCTTTCGTCTCCATCCACACTTGCAACGCGATCATCCACTCCTTTGGAATTACAACTATTTAGACCCAAAATCAACCAAATCAAATTATTTTATTTTATTTTATTCAGTTTTGGGATTAATTCTAGATGAAGCAATTAACTTTAGGATAATGTTAGGGAGATCATCTATTTAATCATATTTTATAAATCATATGGCATGTGTTGATGCACAAAACTGGAGGTCTTAGAACAACGTAAATCCAACCGTAAATATGCAAGAAAGTAAAGAACACAAGATGTATCGTGGTTCATCCCAATGTTAAGGCTACGTCCACATTGATATTGTATTTCTCTGTTTGTGAGATGAAAAAGCAAAAGCATACCAATATCAGTCTCCCTATTGTTGATGATTAGATTATTACTGAAATGCTGATTAACGCGTTTATTTCCTATTGTGACACATCATATGATTTCTAAACTTGGTCCAAAAAGTTGGTTTACCTAGCATTACTCATTAACTTATAAACACTTTTTCTAGTAGAGCTTTTCTAGAAGCACTTGGAGATTTTATTAAAATCCAAGTGCTTCACTAAAAATAATTTGAAAACGCTATATCAAAAAACACTTTTGTAACTATTGGGAGACTTTTAGGTCAAACCAGACTTGGGCTTTGAGAACGTCCTCTTGTCTCCCTTGGTGCAGATTCGTGACAAGTCCCCGGATATCTCGAAAGAGATAGCTTGTCTTAGGAAATACCCTGGTACCATCAACGGCTCGAAGCTAGCATGATTGATCAAGATAATGACTTGCTCAAGTGAAGCATCGTGTGGAAGCTAGAAGATTATCAGTTTACATGAGAGAGAATGGATTTGCATGGTTGCATGGCATTCTGGGCTACATGATTTGGGTTTTCCTAGGATGATAGCAAGGCTTCTAATGGCTGGGATGTTTGATGGAAGGTTGTGGGATTACTAAGGTTGCATGAATGGTGATGCTTGAGGCTTGAAGTATGCTTATGGACTAAATGGAACTCTTTAGGCTTATTTCCTGGGTGATTCTCTCTTTCTGCGTTTTTTCTTTATCTCTCTGTGTATTCCTTCTTGTGTTCTAACTTCTTCTGCTAATCTGAATCCATCTCTGTAATGGCTTATCCCTCTTTATGTAAGTGAAGGGTTCTCCTCTAGGCTTCAAAGGAATCTTCCTTTATGGCTTGGTCTTCCCCTTCTTTCTCCCTAGGCATCCTATTATTCCCTTTTTGGTGTAAGATATTTGCATTATTGAGACTTACAGTTTGCTTATTCCCGAGACGCACCTTTCCTAGGGTGGCCTTTC